GATATATAGAATTGTTTAAAACTGGAATGTATTATTCTGCAACTCAGAAAAAATATTTAATCAAAAAACAATATTTTAGAATAGATAATGTCTTACTGTTGAAACATAACCAAATGACAATTCTATTTACATATGCTAAATAAAGACCCTTTCTAAAATAGATGTGAAGTTTCAGATATTTAAAATATCTTGAAGATAGGTTTTATTTTTTAATAAAATGGATATAAATTAATGTCTTAAAATAAGGTAAAGTTGTATGGACTTTCTGTTTCCAGTCTGACACATATGGAGCTTGGAAGTTGTCGCTGCCATTCTCACAGGAAAGGAAAAGCTAAAAAAATGGAAAATCAACAACTGTTCTTAGAGCCATCAAGAACTGCGTAAGCTGCCCCCACCTCTCCAGTTGATGAAGCAGAAGGACAGAGATAGAGAACCATGACTTACCAGAGCAGGGTCCCAGCAGTGGAGACCTCCATGGGCACTGGTCCTGGAGGAGGCCCACAACCAGGGGATCAGGGGGAAACTTCAACTTCATTGATGAATGAGACTTGGTGCTGACAAGTTTGAGAGTTAAAAACTTTCAAACTTTAGTGAGCTTTCTTCCAGGAACCCTATCAGGTTCATTCAGTGAAGATGAGAGAAAAATTTCCTCATGTTTCCACCAAAAAAGTGGAAGAGTAGTTTTTATAAATATACCCAGAGCATTATGTTCTAGTTAAAAGGCATGAACTCGATGCCCTGCCTAGTTTGGCTCAGTGGATGGAGCATCGACCTGCGGACTCAAGGGTCCCAGGATCGATTCTGGTCAAGGGCATTTTCCTTGGTTGCGGGCACATCCCCAGGGGGGGGGGGGGGGTGCAGGAGGCAGCTGATCGAGGTTTCTCTCTCATCGATGTTTCTAGCTCTCTGTCCCTCTCCCTTCCTCTCTGTAAAAAATCAATAAAATATATCTTAAAAAAATAAAAATAAATAAAAGGCATGAACTCAAGAAATTATTTTAACGAAGCGTGGCTAACTGGGGTTTCACTAGAGCCTAAGCAACATGGCAGAGGAAAATACAAAAATCCAGCATCCCTAGCCTTCCTGTTATCATTAAGGAGGGGACCAGGCCAATCTGAGAAGCACTTATAAGGGTCACAGCCTAGAACACTGGCTCACCGAAAAACTAAGATCTAATCAGAAAAATAGAACACTGCCCCTGTCCACACCTTAACACCACTTCAGTAGGGCTCCAGGATAATAACAGGGTAAGACAACTAAGTAATGCAGGAAAACCTGCACAGCTCAGGTTTATTTAAGAAGCTCTAGAGAAGCCCAAAGGAGACAGAGGAGACAAAAACGGCAGCAGGGAGCATTTAACCTATGAAATCTACAGTAATAGCAAACAAAAACACAGCCTAACATCAAGGCAAAAACCATGCAACATTCCAGTCCTATTTATCTCAATTCCTTTACCCATTTTTCATGTCTGGCTTTCACGAAAAAAATTACAAGGCATATAGAAAGAAAAAATAAAGAATCTGAGGAAGAGAGCAAGCACCAGACCAGACTCACATAGGACAGGGATGCTGAAATAATCAATCCAGAATTTAAAATAACAATGAGTAATGTGCTAAGGGTAGTAATAGAAAACCTGGAAAACATGTGAGAACAGATGGATAATGCAAACAGAGAGATGAAAAATCTAAAAAAGAATAAAAAAGAAATGCCAGAAATAAAAAACACTGTAGAGAAGTTAAGGATGCTTTTGGTGGGCTCATCATTAGATTAGACACAGCCCAAAACAAACAAACAAACAAACAAAAAACAAACATGAAACTTGAAGAAATTTTCTTAGAAATATATAAAGCTAAAATGCAAAGAGAAAAAGAATGAAGAAAACAGAACAGAATATCTAAGAACTATGTGACAATTACAAAAGGTGCTAATATAAACATAACAAATGTAACAAATGTACGAATCTAACGCAAATGTAAATAGTGCAAAGAGAGGAGGCACATAGAAGAACTCGCTGTACTTTCTGTTCAGTTTATCTATCAATCTAAAACTGCTTAAAATGTAAAGCCTATTAATTTTTTAAATAGCAATAACCAGAAAATGTCACATTGACAAGTAAATAAAATTGTAAATGGAACAGTTTAATGGCTAAAACAATAGCAGTGAGAATCTTTATAATATCACTTTGAGTCTAATATCTCAAGAAAAAATTATGCATACTATAATTCATAATAATTATTTAATAAAATATATGACACTTGTATTCTATAAATGAGAATACACATTCTTTTCAAATGTTTATGGGATATTTACATATTACTGTGTACCAAATTACAAAGATAATTTTACTAAATTGGTCATAGAAGTATAGGCCACATTCTTTAATTAAAATGAAAAAACTAGGAATTTATCATACAAATTTAAAGCCCCCAAATTCTAACCATTTACCAGTAGAAACTATAAAACATATATAACTCTCCTAAATAGCCTTGTTTAAAAGGCAGTCTACAATTGCAGGCTCTTTGAATATTAATATGAAACATAGACAGATGTACTCAGAGGAATAGTCATCATCATACTTACAGTCTTTGCATTCCCTTCTGGACCAGCACACAGATTTCCTAGGAACATTCAATGCATAAATGGCTAGAAATATATTGAGATATTTACAAAAATAGTTTTCAGTAAGAATTAATGTATAATATTTTAGAAATGAAATAAAACAATGTAGGTTTCCATATATTATAGTAAACGTGTATCTATTTGAAATTGTGGAGAAAAAAATAAATGTTCTTAATGAAAATAAAATTAGGGCTCAGCTACATTCATGAGAATGATTTTATTGTGCAATGAGACCGTGTGAAACCAGCACACGTTTTTACCTCCTGTCTCTTTCCCGTGAGCCGGTAGTCACAGACCTTAGCCTCCACAAGTCTGAGCCTACTAGAGATCCCTGTTGATCAGTGTGGTGTGTGAGGAGGGGTGAGGAACCAATGGGAAGCAATTTTAGACCGCAAAAGCAGAAAGGGTGCTGGGCCCTTCTCTGGAGCTCAGAGAAAAGGAGGTAGAGGCTCTCAGCTCACCCATGCTAGAACAGTGTGAGCTTTCTAGAGACAGTGAGGCCAGGGCTCCACTATTGCCACTACTGACCTCGCCTCCAGCACTCAGCTCTCCCTCCAGCACTGCCCATGACAAGCAGTCCACAGCAGCTGGAAAGAGAGGCATGTTTGGAAGAACAGCTTGCATCACTGCATAGAAACTGAGAGAAAGTAGAGGGAACCCATGGGGTGGTGGCATAAAGCAAAGCCTGTTACAGCACCTGGAGACAGTGAGATGGCTGAGCAGCTTCACGGAATTTGATACACGACACAGGGAGTCCATTTTCTTTCTTTATAAAAAATATTTAAATGAACTTTATTGGTGTAAGAGGGCCCTATGAAGCAAGGTTTTATGAACTGACATATGTGTCCCAGGAGGTCACAATGGAGAATCAAAAGGTCATGACTGCCAAAGAGGTCACTGTAGCAGAAGGACACAATGAAGGCAGACTGGCTCGCAGTGCAGCAAACACAATCAGGACAGGCCAGGATGGGGAGGTGACAGCGGAAACAGAAGACAGCCAGCCCCTTTCCCTCCAGCTTCTTGTAGCTCTCCAGGTGAGAAAAGACCCAGCCTGGCTGTAGGAATATACACAGAAAGCAGGAGGGGAGCCCAGTGACTATGATCATGGTCCCAAGCTGCTCCCATGGAGGCTTAAAGTGGACCTGGGCACGTGGCATCAGTAGTCTTGGCCAGGCCAGTTAGACCCATCAGCATCAGAGGCTGAGCACAGACATGATGCACAGAACGGACTGTAGACAGCTGTCAGTCAGAGCTCAAGGTTGGTCGTCCTCTGTTAGTCCAGTTTCCATAGGGATCCTGGGCAAGGTTGACCACATCACTGGACTCTGTTCTGAGTGATTGCTTTTTCCTGACATGACGGTTGTCATCCCCTCGAGTGTTTAACATTGGAAGTCAGCATAGTCAAAGAGAGTTTCATGAGCTCAGTGCAGGACTGAGTAGCTCTGCTCATGCAAAATGCAAAAAGCTCTCTGGGGTGAAAGACTGGAAATTTGGAAAGAGGAAGGATGCACTACAGAATTCTAAGAGTGAAAGATTTGGCATCTTGCCTCCAGAGACATTTTTCTTTTTCCCTTTTTTGGGGTCTGGTCCCAGCAAACCCTTTTGCAAGATAACGCACTAAAGTAGAGAAGTCAGCATTACTAAAAAATGTCCTTTCCTACAGCCAAGACTGAGACATAAGCGCCCGGACTTCCACATGCTGAGAACTGGTGAGAGCCAGACTTGCTGGGTTTGTTCAGTGTGAAGGGTGGTGCCGGGAAGAGAGAACATTCACAAAACCTAAAATGAAACCAGACAAAAGTGCTTGCAAAGCCAAATTTGCAATATTAAGCACACTTCTTATTACCCAGGGGAACCTTCAGAAAAGATAAGCTGCTTGGATTTTAGACAGAAAGATTCAATTATTGCAGCTGGCCTGTCCCCTGAGGCCCAGATGTCCTGTGTTCTCTCCAGCAGCTGTTCCCTCCCACCCAGGCCCAGTGACTAAGGGAGGTGAAGACAGTCTTCTTGTCATAATTCACTTGTGTCTTGGCCTCTCCTAATTTTTGGCTCCACTTGTACTTATAATCAGACAGGAAAAAAGAATTTGTAATCAGACAGGAAAAAGGAATTAAAGGGAGAGGTTTAGAAAACAAACCCCATTATCTTGCATGTCCTGACTGGGATTTCATGTCACCCAGAGTGTCCCCAGTTCACTTAAAGGAAGTATAAATGCTGAGAGCAAACAAGTGGAAATTCACTTTTATTTTAAACAAAAATATATACCCAGTATCACTTTAATACTTGGGGAAGGAGAAAAGGGACTGGTGGAATCAACAAATAACAATTAAATATCATAGGTGATAAATGCAGCCATATTCTAAAACATTTGGATTGGGGTGATGTTTTGAAAAGTAAAGAAATCACTATAATAGTGGGGAAATAGAGCAGAACAAATATATGATCTTCTGAACCACAACCTAAATCAACTATTTCTTTAAAAGAGAGAGAGAATAACATTTCTTCTGCAAAATTTCAAGAATGTTTTCTGTTCAACTCCCTTATGGTTGTTTACCTTCTTGGTTAGTAGATACATGAATCTTCTGTTTAAGTCTGAGGGTGCCTCTAGATACAAGGGGTGGGTTTTGACAGCATTTGCTCAAAGCAACTCTGAATTGAAAAAGCCTTGGAGATAATTTGAAAACTACACTAAGGTTCCCAAAGGAAAGACCATCAATCTGGAGCAAGAGGACAAACCCTCCAGCTGAACACACAGGACATTCAGCTCCAAACTGGCAGTGAGAGGGCATGTGGCTTCTCAAGCTCCCCCCAGCCAGAGGAATAAACATGCCCAGCGGCTCCCTCCTATCAAATGCACAGCGAGAATAACGCATTGCAAAGTTGTCCTTTAGGAACATGCCACATGTTACTTAAACCGTGTCCCCAAAGCAAATTTAACAAAATAGAGTGAGCAGCTCCTTCAGCCCCATTTCCCCTTTTCTCTGCATCTCTCCCCACTGTTTAAATCCCTCTCTGTGCTGGATCTGCCTCATCTTTGTAAGTGTACTGTGGTCTCTGAAGTGAGGAGAAGGCAGTGCGAAGGAAAGAATTATTTGAGCAAAATGGAATTTTAGAGCTGCTGGCATGATAGGAGGCTTGTAGGGAGTGAAGCCCTTTGTAAAGATTTGCAAAGATGGACTTATTCACAGGATTTGGCTAATTGCCTTCCAGTTGCTCCATTATACCAAGCTCCAAGCTGATGCATGGAGTGGTCCAAGTTCAAAGCAAAACATTTTTCATCACATCAGTGTTGGCAAAACAGTGCTAGCTTATAGCACTGCAATATTAGGGTCCTTATTCTGAAATCCCATTAAAGGCAGGAACAATGAGAATTTAAACAAGGAGAATGTTGGGGAGATAGAGAAAGGAGCATAATAAGAATGTGAATTTGAGCAGATGTAAGGGTGGCCGGTTATATAAGTAAAAGCAAGTGCCATCCTTCAAGAGAAGGAGGGAAGGAGGTGCCCAGATTAATTTCCCAGTAGTGGCAGCGATGACTTCAGGGGAAGGCCACTATGCCACATGCCCTGGAAGACTAAGAGCCCCAAATCTTAGTCACAGGGAGAATGGCTATGGAGCCCAGAGGGGAGGCTGCACCCCACCCTCCCCAGGGCAGTCCTCTGGAGCCTCCTCTCCACCTCCCGTACTACCTATGCATTCTCTCTCCACCACCACAGCCTCCCTCCTGACTGCTGCCAATCCAAGTGCACATTGAAGCTGACACACATCACCTTGCCAAAATGGCAAGGGTTCAAGATTCTGCCTGACCAGTATGTTCACTCTGACTCTTCCATTCTCATTGCCCATAAAGTATGATAGAAAAGGAGGTACAGCCTTGGGGCTGGGGGTAGGTACACACAAGTACGCTAAGGCTAGAAATCATGGTTCTCACAGTGTGGTCCCTGGACCAGAAGCATTGGCAACACCTGGAAACTTGTTAGAAATGCATATTTCCGGGCCTCACCTCAGATCTAAGGAATCAGACAGCCATCTGTGTTTTGACAAGCCCTCTGGTTTAAATTCCAAAATCACTAGTCTAAAAGTCCTTTTATAGGCTCATATCATCCCTGTCCTAGTCTCTCCCTAGAATGTGCTGCCCCTATTATATGTTTGGAAAAACTCCTCCTGGCCTTTCAAAATGCAGCTCAAATTTCAGCTCTTATTGTTTCTAATTCTTCATCATCTAGTCTCATGATGACTTTCTCTCATCATTTTTAAGAATGGTTTTGAGAGCTCCTGTTTTCCTGCCTGTATGCTCCCCCATATCCTCAAAAACCTACAACATAGATTGCTTACTTTATAACTTGAATAGATTTTAAATAAAAACTGATCCTATAAAATACTAGAGGCCTAGTGTATGAATTCGTGCATGGGTGGGGGACCCTCGACCTGGCAGGCAATCGGGACCCATCAGGGCCACAGTAGTTTGGCCAGCAAGGAGGGGGGCAGCAGTAGGTTGACTGTGGGAGCTCACTGACCACCAGAGGGCACCTCTTGCGTTGAGTATCTGCCCCCTGATGGTCAGTGCACATCATAGCAACTGTTCGTTCGGTCGTTTGGTTACTTAGGCTTTTATATATAGAAAGGAGCAGTTGTATTATCTTTTCTTGATGCCATGATTGGGGTTCATACTTTGAAGGAATAAATAAAGGTAAAACAGATAGAGCAAAAGAAGGAAAAAGGATAAGAAAGAAGGAGAAATTTTAGAATGTCACTTAGTAGGTTACATTATTGAGAGTATTAGAAAGAACTGTTCGCACAATCAGAGTTGATAGTAGAATGAGCTCTCTTGAGATATGATAAGCTTGCCTTCACTTAGGTGTCCTAGAGTGAATAGTGGATGACAAATATCAGTTGGAACTGGAGATTAAAACCAGCCAATTGGAGGAAACCAATTGCAGTGCTGTGTTAAGAGGTATTATCATCAGATCAGGAACAGGCTGGACAAGTTCCAGGTGGATTAGTAACATCTGCTTTGAGTGTAAGAATGGGGACAGGGATGTCATAAAATCAACTTCTCTAGGCCAGTGATGCTACAGCATACTTTACATGGCATCTGGTAGGAGTATATTAAATGACCTCTTGGAAATATAAATCCCATGTGTCTATAATGAAAACAAGAATTTTTAAATGGAAGGCACCATGGAAATACTAGGTACTATTGTCCCCTTTTTAGCATATTGAGGCACTGTCAATAAAGATCTATGCTGAGGATGATTGACTTATGCCAAGGAGGAACCAGGGCAAACCAGCTCTGGTTCTCATTGGCCAGACTTATAATATGACATACATGGGCTACTAGCTAACAAGCAAGCACAAAGCACATGGTGGTTATCTACACTAATAAAAGAGAAACATGCAAATTGGTGTCACTCCACTACACCCACCAGCCAATCAGGATGAGTATGCAAATCAACCCAACAATGATGGCAGTTAATTTGCATATGCAGGCACAGAGCGAAGACTGAAGACTGAAGGTGACTGAAGACTGAAGAGGCTTGGCTTCTCCGCTGCGGCCGGAGCGAAGGCCTGGGTCCCGGGTGCCAGAGGAAAACTGGTGCCGGCAGCCAGGGGAAGGAAGGCCTATTGCACGAATCCCTTCATGCAATGGGCCTCTAGTAAATAATTAACAGGAAATTAATTAGAGGTCTTTATAATGAATTTATCTTGATTAGTACAAAGATTTTAAATGAATGGTTCTTTGTAAGACCAAATAATCAATGTTTCCATCATTACCACTGTTCCTGCTGTGTTAACTCCAATTATTTATAAGCCATAGAAAGACTGAAAAGTTTTGGGTGGCTTCTTTGAGCTAATAATACCTTGAAAATATATATTAATACATAATTCCCTTTCATCTTATTTTCCTTCTTTGAGGGGAGGTCAAGATGTAAAGGTGTTCAGATTAGGGATGGGGTAGGGAGGAGTCATCATTTTGTTTCAGAGTCAGTTATAAAATGGAAACTTTCTAAAATGTGATCTGGAGACCTCAAGAACCATGTTGATGATTTGGAAGCTTATTTTCTGAGCTGAACTTAAAACTACTCACACAGTGGTTCCCAGGCTTTAAGTTACAAAACCACCATTCAATGTTTATAGACACCAGGATCTTCAGTGTCAGACAGGGCCCTAATTCATCCCAAACACACATGATTTATTCCCTGACCACAGTGACTTATTCAGGTTATTTTAGAATATAACTATCTCCTTAATGCAATACAGGTAAAATGTTCTTTGCTATAAATCAACTATAATCAGTAGTGAGAAATCTTTTAAGTGATCATTTGAATGCATGCCCTCTGGATCTACCATTATTTAATACCATCAGGAAAGAAGCCTTCCTTATCTGGCCTGGTCCTATATAATAAAGAGGGAATTTGCTAATGTGTCCGTTATAGTGTCTGACTCATGACCAGTCAAAGGTGTGCACGCGTGCATAAGAGCTGGGGTGTGGGGACAAGGGCAGGGCCACCAGGATGTGAGGCTGCCGCCAGGAGTGCCCCCCCAGCGGAAGTGTGCACAGGTCCACTGCATGGAGGGGAGGCGTCAGGATCGGGGCAGAACCTCGGTGGAGAGCTCTCAGCACTCCTGCACTGGGGTCTGAAGGCGTGGAGAGGAAGGGAGAGCAGATAGGCAGTTAGGGGGATCAGGCCAGGAGGGGAGCAGTTAGGGGCATCAGGCAAGCAGGCAGGTGAGCGCTTAGGAGCCAGTGGTTCTGGATTGCGAAAGGGATCCCAGATTGGAGAGGGTGCAGGCCAGGCTGAAGGACCTGCCCCCCGCCCCCTGTCCCACACATGAATTTCGTGCACTGGGCCAGTAGTATCATAATAAAATGAATAGCTTCATTTCAACAGAAATGTGTACAGGTAAGTACCAGAAGAAATTATCTTTAGAAACCTAATTCTTCTTTCCATAGAAAGAATATAAAGAGAATCATTTAATAGATTTTGTGCATACTTCAAACTTGGGTCTCAATTTTCTCATTGATAAGGTAGGGAAATAGTAAGTAACTCACACAGTGATTATGAGGATTTAATGGGGAAACATTTCAATAATTCAGGGCTGCATCTGTCACAGTGCAAGGACTTAATAAATAGTAGTTATCCCCTTACTTTCCTTTCCATTTCTAAGGTGCTACCCATCCCACCTGGAGGCCCAGCCCTCATCCGATCTTTAGGGGAGAGTATATATGGCCAAGGCCAACACTGGGGCTCAGCATGAGTCTCCCTCACTGTGGAACCATGACTTACTTCAAATTTCAATTCTAATAACCTGATTTCTGTTCATTACTCAGATTCTATCTTCATTTTCTAGCTGATATCTAAATTCCTTTTTATGAAGAGTTCTTACGCTTTGATTAGGGTGCTAAACTTTTAGTTCTAGTAGTGAGATTGTTCATCTATTTGGGACATATGCCCTCCATTTCTTTATTGATTTACCCACTTCACCCTCTTACCTGCATCCTAGAGTCCTAGTTCTGGAACTTGCCCAGGAAATGAGGGGTGTCGGGTGCTGCCATGTCTTCTTGCTGCAGAGTATCTGCCTGGCCCTCTCACATGACCACTACCCTTCCATGAAGACAACCCCACTACTTCAGCTTGCTAATCTGATATCAATTGTCCAGACTATATCTGTTATCATGTGTTTGTTTACTCTTTGACATCCAGGTTCTAAGGGATGGAATGGATATATTCCTAGAAACTGACTCTACTTAAGCCTCTTAAGCAGTTGCTGCACTTCAGTGAGGACCAAACTGGAAGCAGCCCTCCCTAGCCTAGCCTGGCCTGTTTCATCAATTCTACCATGTCTTAGCCAAATATATTTACTTCTTCACCAAATGTTTATGAAGCACCCATATATGGCAGGCATTGTTCAGGGCTGCAGATAGAGCAGTGAGCAAAATGAAATTGCTGCCATAATGGAGCTTATATTCTAGTGAAGGAGACTGACTCTGGCCCAATGTGTTGGGTATTTTCCATTACCCTGTCAAGTCACTATCCACCCTCCCCATCCATCCTGTGCTTCAGTGCTGAACTCTGTGGTCTCCTTCAACAGGTTCCTTTGACCCCAGGCTTCCTGTTGGGTTTTGCCACTGGGAAGCACAGACAAGAACATAGAGAAATAAGGGAGAGATGGGATATTTATTTCCTCAGCTCCCTCCTTGACACCCTCTTCTTACTTCAGCCACAGCTTTTTGTGAACAGCTGTCTCCTACAGCCACAGTTTGCTCTGGATCCTGGCAATTGCTCCCTCCCTGGCCTCTGACTATAGTGACAGTGCCTCAGTCTTCCTGCTTCAGGTTGCTTGTTCATTCCATGGTCTCCTTTAATGCTGCCAACATCTTGTAAATAGTCTTCTATTAACACTTACATTTACTCAACTGAAAATGCCTTCTACTTACTGTCAGCATCCTGACTACAATACCAAATGAAAAAATACATAATAGTTTGCCAAGTAATGGTAAGTATTGTGAATTCAAAAATGAAGACATAACAAAGTAGACATCTTCTAGGAAATGCTCTTCTAGATTGAGAGTGGTCAGCAAAGTAGGTGACATTTGATGAAGACATGAATGACTTCAAATAGGGACCAGATAAAATATAGGATGCCCAGTTAAATTTGAATTCCAGATGAATAACAATTTTCGGTTTAAGTATGTCCCAAATTGTGTGGGACATAATTATACAAAAAGTATTTGTTTATCAGAAATTCTAATCCAAGTGGATGCCCCATATATATTGTGTGCAATCCTAATTTGAAGACATAAGCAATATGAATGAACAGATATCTGGAGAAAAAACATTTCAGGAAGAGTAAATACCAATTACAGAAGCCTGACGAGATGGGTTCATAGTTGGCGAATTCATGACATATTAAGAAACTGCAGCCTGATGTGTTAGTTGTTGAATGTTATTAATGGGCCAAAGGGCATTATCAGAGGGAGACAGGAGCAAGATTTAGAAACCTGGGTCATCCTGTGGCCTGTGCTTTTCCTCCTCTCTCAATTGCCCCATTCAGTTCTGTATGTTAATTACAGTCACGGGAGGAAAGGAAGCCAGGGCAGAAAAACAAGATGCCAAAGCCTTCAATGCAGCAATAGCAAATGAACCTGAAAATTACTTGCAAGTTGCCAATATCATTTTGTGAACAAATAACAACTCTTATGCAAATCACATGCAAATTACCTCCATGCTCTTCTAGCTCATGCAGCTGAATATAATTTGTGGAAAAGCCTAGGAGATCTGTGCTGTTTGCTGTGCTCCTGCTGGTAACTGAACTGCCAGTTAGAGGAAGGCAACACTGCCTATACAAAGCCATAGCAAATGAAAACTCTTCACTAATGATAGGGTTCATAGCACTGTCCCCTGGCCCAGAACCTGATTCCAAGGAGACTCTCATGCATGTCTTCTCATCCTATTCTTCCAAAAACTTTAGTCAAGATGGTAATATCCACATTAACAGGAAAGAACAAGCCCTGGCTAGGTGGCTCAGTTGGTTGAGCATTGTCCTGTGCATCAAAAGGTCATCAGTTGTATTCCTGTGGGTCAGACACATGCCCAGGTTGTGGGCTCAATCCCCAGTAGAGGGCATGCAAGATCAATAAACAAGGCTTTGCCCATAGCACCAAGTCTATGGGTTGATTTGGGGCAGAAGAAAACCTGTAGTTTGACTTGATGTACTTAATGGAGTTGGCAAATTAGCATGAACACTGACTCAGAGTTCTATGCAAATGCTTCAAACAAGATAGGTCCAAGATGTTCTTAATGCATTTGTTACAAGATGCTCTTAATGTCTTTGTGTTATGTAAACAAAATAAATACATAGGATAGGAACAAAATTACATTAAAATAATGTTATTTAAATATTTTTAAAAAGAGATTGGCACATATATTTCTTATTATTAATGCGCTAAATAAGAGCTAGCAAAGAGTTAAGAACTAATGGTTTTAAAGTGGTAATGAGTGTAAGCAATATTCTGAGAGATCTGCTGCACTATAATGTGATATAAAATTATCTCTTGTTTCTAATGGTGACAAAGTAATGTCTATCATAATACTACTGTGATTTATTGCCCAAATTTGTAATTGTATTAATAACGACATTTCATATAGAAATGGTGAAAATAAAGGTGTAATTATTTCCCCATTCAAGTTCACAGATGCCCTGAATTCTCTCATGGACCCATGTTAAAGATAATGTATTAGAGATACAGAACAAAGCTGAATGAGTTTTTCCTAAATCTGAGCTCTGAAATATCTATTGATTTTCTTTCATTCTATATGTGAGCAGGACTAATTGAGGAAATGATGCATATAAGATCTAAGATATTTCATAAATTGAGGACTTGATCCAATATGTGCTTACAGCTTTTTCTCAAAGCAGGATAGTAGCTACAGCTTTACTATCTCCTCTATTTTTTTTTCTGCTTTTCCAATGGAACTCATTTTATAGTCATCCATACAAAATAATTTATTTTCAAGCATTTGTTTTCCAATATCTATATATGCAGGTATGTTGGAGTTTCCTCTATATTCATTTTTTAAAAGAAAGATACCAAATTTGCATTTTAAGCAAACTATATCTGAAGGAGGAACTGGAGTACATGACAATCACTTATCACCCATTGTCTCCCAGGTACTGAAAGTGTTTTTTTCCATTGAGGCTTTAAAAAAAATATTTTTAATTACAGAAAAAAAATCATTCCTCATAGACATAGTATATTTTTCAGGCAGCACCTCAAAACTCTGAACTGTAGTGTTTGCTCTTCTACATTTCTGTACACTAAATAAGCATATGCCATATGAAACAAAGCATGCTGAACAGGGCCCACAATAAAATGTCTTTGCACAATGAAATAAGACTCACTACCTACAGATGATTTTTAGCATTTTTTAAGATATATAGTAATGATTTTGAGGAATAGTATCTCTCTCTTGACATTTTTCTCATGTTCCAAAATTGCTTCTAAAAATAAATAAGGAAAATAGAAAAACAGTATGAATTGATTTATTCATGGTGTGGTGTTTCAGGTCAGTGGGAGAAGCAGATGCCTTGAACTTCAGTGTGCAAGTAGGATGTTTATGGTGAGTGCTCTGAGGATCAATGTGTATGGAAAAGCATTGAGACTCCACGCCACCTGTCACCATTAGGGTAGGCAGTTAGTTACTAACAAAGCAAGGAAGCAAATGGAGGCAGACATCTAATTAAGCCAAATTAACTGGGAAGCTAGATCTTCCAAACACTCCAGGGTAAAGCTGCATTGCCCAGCCCAGGGGATTAATATCCCTCATGGCTTTCCAGTCTAAGGGACAAACTGGCCCATTCCTCCAGATTATCAAGGGGGCGGGGCAGAGAAGGAAGGACCAGTAAAGGGAGTAAAGGGGAAGGGGAAATTCCTCTGCAGAGGTACAGGTGCAATAGAAACCAAGATGGTGCAGGGGAGAGCCTTCTGCTCTGAGGCATTTGCGGTAGGCGCCAAAATGGTCACTATAAAGGGGAGGGGTCCAGTCTAGGAAAACCTGGGAAAATAATTCAATTAGATAAAGGCACGAAACCCTGGAAGATCCAGGAAAGGAACTGGATAAGGGGGAGGCCCAGCACAAGCCCGGGAAGAACCAGGGAAGAGAGTGGTTAGTTTACTAGTAAAGAAAGCTTACCCTTCCCAAACCCAAGAAGATATAATCAAAGTGTATCAAAAGCCTGAGGTTTGTTCATTCAAGGCTTATTTGTATAGCAGCCCCACGGACCCGAGTGCAGAGCCAGGGAGGCTGGGGTGCCCTAGGGCCTGGGTGGCAGACGTGCAGATGGGAAATAAGATCCAGAGAAGTTGTGCATCTCTGGCCCTGAACAACTTCTGGGCTTGCTGAGGAGGTTGCCTTTATTTTATAGATGGTTTCCTTTTTTGAACAGAAACTTTTTTAGTTTTATGTAGTCTCGCTTGTATATTTTTGATTTTATCTCTTTTATTTTTCAGTGTCACATTTTTAAAAATCATTACTAAGACCTATGTCAAGGAGCTTAAATTTATGTGTGTGTTTTTCTTAGAGTTGTATGGTTTCAGAGCTTATGTTCTAGTTTTTAATCTATTTTTTAAGTAATTCTTTATTGTGGAAAGTATTACATATGTCTTTTTTCCCCATTGACCTCCTCCAGCCTGCCCCCACCCCCTACCCCAGGCCTTCACTGCCCCGCTGTCTGTGTCCATGTGCCATGCATACATGCATACAAATTTCTTGGTTGATTATTTCCCACCTATCCACGCTACCCCGCCTTCCTACCGAGATTCTGCACTCTGTTCCATGCTTCCATGTCTATGGATCCACTCTGGTCATCAGTTTATTTTATTACTTAGATTCCACCTATGAGTGGGATCATGTGATACTTGTCTTTCTCTGACTGGCTTATTTCACTTAGCATGATACTCTACAAGTCCCTTCATGCTGTCTCAAAGCGTAGATATTC